GGTAGGCAGCCATCAGCAGCTGTCCCAGAGCTTAAAGATCACCTTGAATGTGTTAGCCAGGACTCTTGGAGTAGCAGGGGACAAAAATGCAGTTCAGGCTAAATGGAAAATTTATCAGCTCTGAAAATGAAAAGTCCTGGGGTAGACCTGGCTTTCAGCACAGCTGGATCCAGTACCTCAAACAATGTCTTCAGAAATCTACCGCCCTCCCGCTCTCCTTCTCAAGAGGTATTAAGATGGTCCCAGGCTTAGATCCTTAACCCTAGAGGAGAAAGAGCACCTCTTTTGTAGTATCTCTAGAAGCAGTCCTGGGCTGTCTCTCACTGGTCCACACTTGGTTCATGTGCTCCCCCAGACCAGCTACCAAGGCCAGGGGGAAGTGGTCTCAATTTGGGCAGACCTGGGTCACACACCCACCCTGGAGCATGATGCATGATCAGTTTCACCCAAAACAAGGTCTGAGAGTGAGGGAGGGATGGTTCCCCATGGAAAATATCACCCGTAGGTGCTGTTACCAAAAGAAGGAAAACTGGGTTCCTAGAAAGGAAAAAACCCAGCAGATGTCCACTGTACTGTCCACAGACTTCCTTTTCCAAATAAGGAATTTGAGGCCCAGAGAGGTTAATTGACTTTACTAAAGTCACTCAGCTAATTCATGACAGAATCAGAAGTAGCAACAATTTCTCTTGATTTCTTTACCCAGAATTATTGGATATTCTTTCTTCTTAATGTTATGAAAGTCCTCTTGTCTGACAAGTAAATCCGTCTTAGCCTTGCTTTGTATAATTTACAGACCTTCAAAATTATGGCTGTGCAAATGAGAATTCAGGGGAAAGAACGTTTTAAAGCTGTTAAAAATATCTTGGTCATTAGGACCCAGTACAACTCTAAGTTCCTACCTCAGTCAACTACACTGTAATTAGGCATTAATCATATTAACATCTCAGTATCTTCAGAGTGTATCAATTGAGTGTACTTTTTCCATTTTTTTCAAACTTGACATGATAACATTCTTTATAAATGTATAGTGTACAAAGCAATAGTATGTACAGAAAAGCATTCAGTCCTCTTGCAGCTCTGA